ATGAAGTCTGGCACATTGAGTTACATAGGGGCAATAACTTAAGTGGCATAGCAGTCTCAGGCAAATTCTGATGTTCTGGAATTTGCTTACAGGGGTTGTGCCTAAACTTGAACTTGCAGCTAAAAGCATTTAGTTGCTTTTGGTCCAGAATGGGTCATCACACTTTTCTTTTTGGGAATCAAAAGAGAGATAAAAGTCACACCTTTCCTATGTTCTGAGGAACTTCTACTTCTCTGAGAGAGAAAAGTTACTGCATCTTCTGCGCTTGTGCCCAATAAGAATGTGGAAGGTATTTTAGGGCAAGAAACAAGACTGAATAGCCCACTCTGTGCTCCTTCCAAAACCCATGTTTATTTGATTTTCAGTTCTCAAATTGGAAGTGGAAGGAGCCAGAACTGAAAAGGGAGTTGAAAGGGTCTGTACCCTGGTCTTAGTCAAACAGTTAAATTTATTAAGTCTGCCTGCATAATAAATAAAAGGATTTCTGCTGTTGTCACTGAGGCTTAAAAGGCTTACTGGTTAGGCAAAGACATATAGAAACCTATGGATCTTAGAATCCAAGCAAGTCCTCCAGGAAATGCAACAACTCATCTGGTTTTGCATTAAAGAATTCCTTTTCCTCATATGTGAGATATTCAGATGTTACTAGGACTTCTTGAGAGATACCCAGAAAATGGAGCCAGAAGGATCTCCGCATAGTAAATCACAGTTACCATCAATCTGGAATTTGTATCCAAAGCAGCAACTTTATAAGTGCACTAGAAACTTGTCCCCAGCAATGATTACACATAGTTTCCTTACTGTGCTGTGATAGAAGCTAAATTTTGTTGTGGAGCTGCGACTAATAAACCCATTACTTCACCAGCAAGGCTAAGTATCTGGCAGTTATTCAAGAAGCTTGATGTTATTTTTGCCCCTATCCCAGCAAGTCCAATTTCTTAAGCTCACCATCTTCAGGTGTTAATGTTAGTCTGATGGTGATACTCTGGTTCATTTGCTGCCACCACCACTAGTGAGGAAGACCTGCAATAAAACTGTTCAGATCCCTGGAATGAGACCAGATAGCAACAAGCTGCTCTCTTCAGGGTTGGAGGTATAGAGAAGGATGTTTATCAGTGCAGCCAGACAGAACTTGAGTTCTTTGTTAATTATTACTACAAGATACCCAGGTGGCAAAAAGAAGAGGATGTGAAAAAAATTGGTCAAGATTTACTCAAACCACATGAAATGGAATCTCTAGATATTCCTAAAATATCTTCTAGTCATCTAGGTTGGAAATGGATGATTAAGGCATTACCCACATTGTAGAAAGATGAGAACCTATCAACTTGTGCCAAGTCATCTCTTGTTTGTTATTCCTTAGCCGAGTTTGAAAGCAGTCTGTTCTAGTGGGGCTGAAGTCAACTGGGCTGGTGAAGACCCTTGTAAGACTGTGGAAAAGGGAAACCAACTGTCAACTGGGACAATGATTCAGAGGTCTTGAATGATACATTCTTTAAGAAGAAATAAAAATCAAGATGCTGGTAGGCATAGATGAAAGGTGGTAATGAGGGAAGAACATCCAGAAACCTCCTGAAACCTTGAGATTGACAGGTCCTATGGCTTTTAAAATCAAGCCTTTGTCTCTTCCCCCTGTAAGCCCAGTACACTCTCTTCCCCACGACCTGTTTTTTTTTTCCTAGGAAAGAAGGATAAATCTTTTGCAACAGGAATGACAGTCCCGTAAGTGGGAGGCAACAGCAGGAGCACTTTTTCACTGACAAATGCATTGAAGTTTCTGCCCCAGGCATTGCTGGATCTTTTGGATCTCCCTAAAATAAATATTTTCAACCAGGATTCCCCAGCTCTCTTGAGTTCTCTTGGAAAATGACTTACAGATGGCACATTTCTCTGCAGCACATCTCTCTCCCAGCAACAATAAGCATCTGGCATGCCTCTTGTTTAAAGGCATTACAGCTTCACACAAAAGGAAAATTTTGAAGCCTGGAGACTTGTGTTCAGATAGTGACTGAACCCAGTATCAAGAGTACCTCTCAAAAAAAAAAAGGAAAAACAGTTTCTTCATAAAAGGTAAGAAAGAAAACACTATTCAAATACACGGAACCTAATCACTAACTATCCATTAAGCATCTATTTACATATTAAAGGGATAAGACCACACAGTGCACAAAGAGTTTCAAACATTGTAGATTCTCTAAGTGAGAAAAATGAAGTGCAACTGGAGGCCCAATGATGGTAAGGGCACCTAGACAGCCCCAGTGGACACTACTGACCAAAATATTCTTGGCTTGAGCCTACTGGGGGACACACACCAACAGTAGTAGGGGTTTTATTAGATATACCCACTATATCTACTGACAGATGAAATATACATGAAATATTTCACGTATATGTATCATGTATATTTCTAGCGGACATGAGTGCAAAAAGAATATTCATTCTAGCATCTACAGAGGCAGGACTCTGTAGGAAAATCTGATCAAATTCTTGAATAAAAATAGAGTGGAGTGCACTTTTAATAGTTTATACAACCTGCTCAAGTCTTTAATCATTGAATAGTGGGCTCCCTCCAGTGGTATACTAAAGATGTCACATTTCAGGACAGAGTTGGTTAGCTGTGATGGTTTGAAGTCAGGCAGAGGGAAGGGCAGAGTGGCACTTTAGACAGAGATGAAATGGCTCAGAAAGGTATGACCTTTCATAGGCAACAACCTACTTTATCAGATGTTAGGAATGGACTGCCAGCAAGAAAGGAACAAATGGAGGGGAGACTACTAAGACAGGTAAATCAGGTGGACTGATTAGATCAATGATTTTCACCCAGGGTGCTGCAGGCTCATTTCATGGAGTGCTGTGGGGTGTTGCTCAACATTAACTTTGTTAGTTGTGCAAAACACCTGCACATGATTTATAAAATAAGATCAGCACTTTCAAATAGGGTTCTATAGCATCAAAAACATGCTGACCTCTTGTGGTCCGAGTTGCAGCAGAATTGCTCTCTTTTCCTGCAGTCCAAAAAAACTATGAGCTGGCATTTTCTGAGGGGCACCTTGAGTATAAAAAGGCTGAGAACCACTGGATTAGATCAAGTAAAATAAACAGGGCAGTTAACACCTGGAGGGATAGTGAAGTAAACACCTACTCCAAGTAATGGGATAAGAATCCATAGTCCCTGTTGAGACCAAGGTTAATGCAATTCAGTCTGTGGATGACTTCTTGTTCTGCAATTTTGTGTTCAAGTTGGATTTTATATTTTTTTTCATTCAAGGACAGCTAGGAATGACTAGGGAGGTAAAAGTGTTTTGTCACAAGCCTGTGTGCGTTTCTGAACTTTTCCCACCCGGATTTTATAGACCTCCATCATTATTTATAAACACCATACACAGGTTACAAGCAAAGTATAAAGTTCCAAAACAAAGTTAACAGTAGCAAGTTGTCCTGAATCTACCACCTGATGTAGCCATCTGATACTTTTTCCTTTAAGTTGAAGCTCTGTAGCAGAGAGAAATTCTTACAGAAGCACTGCCTTATTTCAGTTTCGTAACCTGTTTGTGTAGAAAACAAGCAATTGTGTTTTGAGTATTTTGGTAGTATAATGTTAAATGATTTTGTAATCCATGTAATTTAAGTGTTACCAGACTCTCATTATAAAGGTAAACCCTGTCCTTTGAATCAACTCCAAGGCACCTAATTTTTCAGTTTCCACAAGAGAGAACAAGTTAGCCTTCAGATGGAAGAAAAGATGCAAGCGTGAATGGAAATAGGGGTACAGGAGTGAGTAATCACTCTTGCATCTTTTAACATGTAAAAACATCTTTCTTAACATACAAGCATAGATTTCCTAAGCAAAACAAGCTTAGGAAGTGTCACCTCATTCTTGAATTATAAAGTTATTTTGGGCTAAGCAAACTCTAGTCTCTGCCCTGCTGTTTCACAACATACAGACTTTTGATTTAATAGATAAGAAAACATTTGTATGTTCTGTATAATGGTAACTGTAATTACCAAAATTATTCAACCTACTACTGAAGGCAAGGAAATAACCTTAGAAAATTACATTCCAAAAGAGAAATCACGCTATTTTACACAATAGTTTTTCCTATTCAGTTTTATGTTTTCCACGTAAAACCTTTCCTCCCCAATCCCGAGACTTACCTATTGGGTGCTGTTCTACACGCTGCAGCTGCGCGCCTGCATGCGGTGTCCCGATATGGCACTGATATATCAGTATACCTCTACTGTCTGTCTGTCTCTGTGCATCTGTGTACATGCCTCACCCTGGCCTGCCTTTCTGCAGCAGCAGCCTGGAGCATATGACCAGGCTTGTCTGGCAGCTCCTCTGCACTGCCACTGCTGCTCTGCTGGGTGGCCCAGAGGCAAGAGTAATGGTAGCGAAATGAAACCCAGGTATGGGCTCCAAAACTACATGTGCCATTAACACATTAAAAAAATTAATGCAAGAACCAATTAACGTATTAATTGCACACGTTAATGGTGATGAATTGACAGCCCTATTTGGAAGTATTTCTTTATATCAAGGGTGGGCAAAATGTAGCCCGGGGGCCAAATGCGGCCTGCCAGGCTATTCTATCTGACCCGCGGGGCCCCTAAAAAATTTAGAAAATTAATATTTATCTGCCCCTGGCTGCCTGCCATGTGGCCCTCGATGGCTTGCCAAAACTCAGTAAGCAGCCCTCTGCCTGAAATAATTGCCCACCCCTGCTTTATATATACATCTTGCTTATTCTTTTTCTTTATAGATACCTATATATGATATATTTGCGAATCATTTATATTAAGATGTCTTTTTTGCAACCTAATTTAAGAACAGTCTGATGAGAAGGCAGGAGAACAGAAGCTAAAAGGGGTGATTCTTAAGAGTTTAAAAAGGAGGACAGTGAATTTGCCAAGGAAGTGAAAAGAATGTATTGGTAACAGGTGATCCAACACTATTTAGAATACTTACATTTTCAAATGCTAATGTTAATAAGGGCACTTACCTTGCAAACAGACATGATGTTAATGTTTATCATTTTGTTGATTGTCTGCAACAAAAAGAAATGATTTCTAGAAAAATGACTGATAAATATTAAACCAGTATATCCTGGCATTTTAAATCTATTTTAAATGCACCCAGATTCGACCCAAAAGCCTCTTCCTCCTGTAAAATAATAGACCATCCTCACGTCAGAAACAAATGCATATACAGTTTGAGTCAGCTATCCTAGATCCTTGTCACAGATACAAATGGTAATTCCCCAAATACATGCAAAGAAGCTTCTTTATTTAATTTTAGATTATATATTAGTTGGATATAAAGCAGTTTCTTAATTATCTAAGCGTTACTTAAGTAATGCAGAGTAAACATATAGCTCAAAAGGTGACGTGTGTAAGTTCATATTCTAAACTGGAACTGTCCCCATTTCAGACAATTTGCCCTCAATACTATTATACTAAGGTCAACACCTACCTTAATAAAGAGGATACAGACAGGAAGTAATATTAGTACTTCTATATTATCGAAAACACCATTATCAAGGAAATCTGCAATTGTTCCCAATATCAATAATGCTTTTGACCAATTAAAGTAAATTAGTACCTTAGCTATCTTCTTGATTGATTCCCATCACTCATTGTAAGTCTTATCTTTGCTCTTTTATCAAGGTACCAACATGGTATCTTATGGTATTCAATACTTATGATTAATACAAATTCTGATATACTGGACACTCTGTACTCCAAACAACATGATTACTTGTAAGGGAGATGCATTTTTTTAAAAGCTGGTATTTACTATTCACTGTATTATAAAATATTTAACAATTTAATTCATTTACTCATGTAAGTCTTAATCATTACATGAAAAAAATTACAACTCTTGAAAGATTTTCAAGGTTAGTTCATGGTGAACAAAAGAAATGATATTTCCATTAACCTGTTTGAGTTCACAGAACATGAGACTAGGGCAAGGGATGGACAAATCTCAAGTTTATTATACACGTTTGCAAACATAAAAGTGTTGCACTTGAGCATTTTAAACAGATTAAATCTGGCATGCATTCATTGAGAAGCGAGTTTTCATGTGGCCAGAGTGCATATTGAAAGCAAGTGCAACTTGTGCTACTTTTGTTCACATGAACTGAATACTTCCACATGTACGTGAATCTACGATGACCCTGAATTTTAGATGACCCCCCAATAATTAGATTTTGTAGATTTGTGGAACATGTGGAAAATTCATAAAATTTGTTATAATCTTCCATGTATAGAATCTAATTATTAAAGGGTCATCTTAAATTCATCCTCACCATCACTGCAGTGGGGAAAACAGTGGTAGAGATACATGAGATAGAAGGGAGATGTAAAGGAGACACTGTAGAGGGCAAGCTGTAGGAGGGCGGGCAGGCTTCTCTGTGCCACCCCCTCTTCCCCCACTTGTCCCTGACACCCCTACAGCCTCAAACCCCCACCCCCTACCCTATCTGTACCTTTCCCCCTGCTGTTTTGGGCTGTTTTGCACTGGTACTAGGGCATACCTGCACTGGTACTAGGGTACAGGGTACAACACCAGCCCTTCTGCCATAGCAGCACTGCAACCGGGCAGGGTTAGGTTGGGGTTGTGTTCTATGTCCTAGGCTGGAGTGAGGACGAAGCCTGCCAGCATGGGAGCAAAGATAAGCAGGGGCCTGAGGCTGAGGGGGGAAGATGCAGAGGTGGTGCAAGGGTGGGGTGCAGGCAGCAGAGCCATAGCAACTATCTGCCCCTGCTCCTCACTGCCTTGTACTCATTTCTAAGTTCCCCCATGATAAATGTGTGTGTGTGGGAGGGGGAGGAAACTTGCCTTGGAATTATAATCACTCTTGGAAAACCTAATTTAACAAGTACTCCAGCCTGAACCAATCTAGTACGAGTTTATTCTTAAGTGAGAAAACCATAGCAGAGTCAAGTTATGAAACACTTACATTATCCAGGTCCGGAACATCAAGGAAATATTCTGGATTAGCATATGAAGTCCCTACATTGTTGACTGAAACAGAAGCAAAGAGTTTTATTTAGCTCTTCTGGCTGTTACATTTCAGTTCTGTAGCTTTGATGACTTGGAATTACAAGTCTCACTTGAAAATTAACAATGCCACATTCAGATGTTTTGTAATTGCAAGTCCTTGATGCAGTCATGATATAACACTTTCCTACACTGGAAATACACTCCTCCGTCCTAGTTCAAGGGTGCTCAACCCCCAGCCCACAGGCAATATCCAGCCCATGGAACCCTGTCATCCAGCCTGCAAGGCTCCCTGTGGGTTTGGGGGAAGGGGTGTGGTAGCAGCATTAATTGCTGCTACACAGCTGCCAAATTTCTGGACCTGTGGAGAACCCTACAGATGAGCGAGCCAGGATCTGGGCAGTGCAAAGTGGGATCCAGGCACCCATCCAGGCCCAACCCCATGCCACTCATCAGGTCCACAGAGCTAGTGGATAAGATGAAGGTGAGGGTCCAATCAAACTCTTCATGGGACCAGCTAGGTTTTGAGAACTCATTCACCTTGATACGTGGAGATCCCTGTTCCAAAAGTTATGACCTCCTTTCCAAATGAGGGCCTTAACCATGTTAAAATTCAAACCATGGAGACAAGAATCACATTCAACTGTATGTTTAAATAAACTAATATTTACATATCTTCCTCAAATTCATATATAGAGGGAGGCAAGAACCCATTCTTTAGCATGCATGAAGAACATGAACTAGGGATCCAACCCTCACTATAGGAATGAAGTATGAACATCTGGAGACATAGAAACCAAGACTACCTGTACAATTTTTTTAAATGCTTGTAATAACACTTTGGAAACAAAAGATTATCTCCAGTTAGGTTAAAAGTGTTTATTAATACTTCTTATTTCCCATCTCTTCCTACTGGGGAGAAGTAAAGCACATGTATAGACAGAAAAAAATGTTTCAAGTCACTTGAATAAAATTAGAAGCCAAGAAATACCTCTCAGTACCCGTGAACATTCTAAGTGAACCTAAAAGTTTTTGAAAGAAAAACCATCCCATTCAGTTTCCCCAGTAACTTCAAGAGATGTCTAATTTTCTCCCAGCAAAAAATAACTGACCCAAGCTCTCCAGGGCACTGACTGCTTACGAGCAGTCACCATGGCTCCGCTCAGTCTTATAATTATCGCAAAGAAAAGTGCATGTATGCTGTTTATAGCAGAAGAGACCCATAAAACAGGGAATACGCTGAAACAGCAAAATACCACTCCAAATCAGCAGCTGCTGTGTCAAGGCAGTAGATGGCAGCAGGAACCAACATGCAGTCTACCAGCTCAACGCAAGCACTCTATGAAAGAGCTTCAGTAGCTTGTGGGGGGTGAGGGGAAAGTACAAATAGGAATGAGGGAGAAATCTCATTAATGACAACCTTAGTACATTAAGCAGCCTATGTTTTTGACAAAGATTATCTTATTTTTTAAAGGGTTTGTGTTTTGCTTTCTCTCTATATGCAAAGCCTCATTACACGGGGATTCGCCATGGCAAACTGTCCTACAAGTTGTTTTCACACTTTGGATCTGTGAAATCTCTCCCTATTGGCCGCATTTAACTGAGAATCTGTCAACTGCTTAAAACTATTTTTAATGTAATACTGCAAATGGCAAAGTTTTGTTCTCAAATGTGAAGCAGTATTCACACTCTGCTAATCTAAAAATACTAGTGAGTTGGGGAAAAGTACTAGTGAGCTGGGGAAAACCTTCTACCACCACTAATAAATGATGCTGCTCGAGTATTATGAAGTCTGAAGAAATTGAGACGATATAGTATACACTGGCATGAAAAACAGAATCTGTTTCATGCAATTATTTGCTATTAATCTCACTCAAGTCAATTGTGTAACAATTAGCTACAATACCTTCCATCCCACATGATCATGAATTATTGCACAAGTTATACATTGAACAGCAGTGCTGAAATGGATTCAGCTCTAGGGTGTAAGTTTACGTAAAGAGGACTGAAACCAAATACACTGGGGAAAACTTTTAAAAATGCCATGGAAACTTTTCTGTCTGTGAACTTCAGAAAGAAGCTTGCATTTCAACACCCAGCCTGAAAATATGCAGGAAATGTATACAGGAAGTTGGCAGAAGATTAAAGGTACAGGTTTGTCAAACATCATTCAGAAAGTCTGCCTCACTGAACCTTTCCTATTCACCATTTTGTATCATCTTTATAATGACTACTGCAACTGCTTGCCCATGTCAACACATTTTTAGGGATTCCTTACTATATTAGCTGTTTAATCTCATTTCCAAGTACTCTGCAAACTACCAGCAAACATTTGTTATACTCAGAGAAAGATACAAGTTTAACAAATAGAGGCAGGCACCCTTACCATTCTTCAGAGGAACAACATTTTCAATGCCTCTCATCCTAAATGAAACCATTTTTTGACAGCTGTCACTCCCTGCATCTGAAGGGAATCTCCAGGGCAGAGCCTGAGGAATAGGGTGCTTTGGGATTTGCTGTAAAGTTGTCATTTTATATTAAATGTGGGAGGGAAATATTTAACACCCCCCTCCCAACCACCTCTTCTTGCAAAACTGGAGCCTAAATTGAATATGGTCAGTTTTAGTAATCAATGTTCAATGGTTTTACATTTGGACTGCCAATTGCAAGAGAAGAGGTTAAACGTGATTCAAAATTTTGACACTCTACAACAGAGAATCAAAGTCTAGCTCTGCTAAAAGAGGAATTTTAGAAGCTCACTGTTGAAAGTCAAACCATCTCGAGCCAGATGATTTTACAAAGAATTCCATGAAATGTGAGTCTTTAATAGCTGATTTTTAGAGTTAATACTTAAGTCTGGACATCTCAAATATGACGACTACATACTGCTTCCTCTTGTGTAGAGGTGATCATTTGAAAATAGGTATCAACAGACAAGGTATGGGCCTAATCACCTGCCTGCCTGCTCCATTTTTGTGGGCAAACAGAGAGAGGGAAATTCACAAGAAACTTGTGTCATTTGCATCTTCAGTCTTACATTCATATGCACATATTTGTAGTAAGATTTCCTGTGTGCATTAATGAAGTCCCTGCCACTTGTAACTCAAGTAACAAATTGTTTTATCATAAAGATTTTTTTTAAAAACTCAAACGAGAGAAATTAGCAGACAACCCCCCACGTATATTTCCTGGAAAAAGTTGAGCCTGCTAACCTAGACAGTGCCTTAGGTCTGTCATTTATTGAGAATGTCATTGTTTCAAAAGTAACTAATGGAAAATCCCCCATCTCTGCCTACTTAACACATTGCTGGAGCTAGCACATGTTCGAAGTCACTGACAGACGCTGTTTTGAACACACAGCAAAACATTATGCAAACTCTTTAGCCTTCATATGTGGGTGAGAAACAGCTTCTCAATAAAAAGGAGTTTATAAGGATTTCAGTCTGTAAATAAGTTATAATCATGGGGCAGTTGATTCAGCCCAGTACAGGTGCAAGTTATTTTATGCATAAACCAAGGATTAAAATTAAATTAGGAAGGAGTGAAGATGGCCACACCCCAGGATAATGAGTGCTTCTGAGCTGCTATCTAGAAACTCCTACCAAACAGCCTAAGTGAGGCCCCAAAGAGGAATACATACTTATTTCCAAGTACTTAATTAATACGATTGTACCATGTCTACACAGCAAACTTAACATCTCCAGCAATGGTGCTCTCAGGCATATCCTTAACTGCAGCCACACAGCATTGCAAGCAGGCTAATTGACATGGCTGTGACCTTATTGGTATCATCATTCAGTAGTGATGATTAACCTTCCCATGGCACTGCACTGAAATAACTAAAACAGTTCTGGATTGGGATATAGCCTGTATGGATAGCACAGCATGCCTGAGGGCACTGCTGCCTGGAATGACCATTTTACCTTATCGCTAATGCCATCAACCCATGCATCCTCAGATAACCATGTACATATGTTTAAATGGAGAAGCATATGGCTAGCAGGAGCATGTACACAGACCTTGGACTGCCAGTGCCATAACTCTGACCAGTGTCTTGAATTTTTAGAACTTTTTTTTTTTTTTTTTTTTTTTTTTTTTTTTTTTTTTTTTTTTTTTTTTTTTTTAATTCTGGTGATTGGCAAGATGTTTTTTCTGGAACAGTCCTCTTCCATTTAGAGGAGTACAAGTATCTATTCAACAAAGAATGGTAAACAGATGGTTATTAAACTATCTGAAAGAAACCTGTTTTGACCTGGTATATACTGGTATCCTTCTAAAGGCAACAGCTATCATAACTACCACTCAAGAGTTTAACAGCTCAGAAGTTTGGGAAGATGTGCAATGGCAGTAGATGACAACTGATCTCTAACTAGCAGGTACAGAAAAAAAGACCTAGGAATACCTATGTGCCAGTTTCACAGTTTTGAAGTGAGTGAGGGCAACAAACTCAGAGCCAAGTAAGGCTTCCTCACTTAGCCCATTTTATGAAAAAATATCCTAGATTTGTTTCTTACATATGGACAAACTATGCCTCATTCATTTGTTCTTGTCTGGGGAAAAGTGAAGTCCGATAGAAGGAGCAGGAGGAACAGGAGGAGTCAGAAGTCCAACGTTCCAGTCACAAATGTCATGCTGTCAACATGTGACATCAGGCGGGGGGAACTGAGGGATTCCATCTTAATATGGATATACTCTTATACATCTCATATAGGTATAAAAAAAAAAAAAGTGGCAGTCCTGCAATATTTGGATGATAGGTATGAAAATGCAGTTATGTGATACTGACTTAACTGTCAAACCTGATCTTCGTTGGGTGTATATTATGAAGTCAAGAAGCGTAGAAGGAGCATAGTTAAGTTTATTTCATGAAAATTTCTTCAAGGGACCAGAACAGCAAGCTCCTAAATGGGTTCACCCTCTGTATTCTCTACCCAGACTGCATTGTTGAGATATCCACACTTACACCAGCTTCTTCTCCAACTATAATTTTATCTGAACTTTTACAGCAATTGTATAAATGAAGTGGCCCCATCCCACTGTGGGGCCAAGTCACACCTCCTTTCCTCAGAGAGCTGGGCCACTCCCTTCCCACATGGCTGGGTTGGAGCCAGCCATGCCCTCTTCCCCCCCATGGAGCTGGGTTGTGGCTGGGCTCCCCCCACCCTCTCTACATGGCCAGATGGTGCCCAAGCCAGCACCAGTGCCATATTGGGACCACTGGCAGGATCTGGCCCGTGGACAGACAAGACACTGTCCATCTGGCTCAGTGGGGAAAAAGGTTGAATACAACAGCTAAATCATGGGGCTAAAAAAAAAAAAAAAAAAAAAAACAAAAAAAAAA